CTGGGTGTCACTCTCTGTTTCATACACACTCAGATGCAGATACACAGGAGGAAAGATGGTACCAACAACCACATGGCATAGCCCTTTCTCTAGCTCCTTCCGTAGAATAATTTTTTAAAAATGGTTGTTACAAAGGCTCTTCGTTATTTTTAAAAAAGTTCTCTGTGTATCCCTGGCAGTATTTAGTGCCATTACGCATAGGCATAAACTATTATTGAGGACACCAATTAGGGGAGCTACTCTGGACTCCTGATAAAGCTGCAGGATATAGAGTTAAACCTCCCTCATTAATGTGTCTTCCTCTTTTATAAAAACAATTTCTCTAGAATTAACCCTCTGCCATCCTGTATTTCTTAATCCATTAATTATAATAAGAGCCACTCTCTTGCCTTAGAACAAACATGCTCTCATCCATCCCTATGAAATACGGGGCATTCGTTTTCACCTTCAGCAACTTACTGAGGCCGGACGTGGGGAGAAAACTGGTGATATCTGGTGCCCTGAGATCAAGGAACCCCGCCCCGCCCACATCCTCTCTGCGCTGTGAATGGGTGTCTGGGCCACGTCATGCTAAACGCTCACTAGTCCCAGCGAGGGGCAAGGCGACTATTCATGTCTCTCCTGATGATGATGGCACTGCTGGTCTCAGGTCGCGGGTTGTCATGGTGACGCCTGATGCAAGGGAAATTGCAACTGCAGCAATGCCATGGGGTGGCCGGTCTGAAAAACAGGATCTCCTTCAGCTCCACAGACACAGGAGGGCCCCGGGAGCAGGGCGCAAGCCACTGGGCTTCCCTAAGGCGCCCGCGGGAAGCTGAGATTCTGGGAGCCAGGCAGGGGGAGCCGTCACCTGCTCTCAGGTGACCAAGTAGCCTCACCTAGGGTGACTGGCTTGTTCCCTCCATCCCCCAACAGCAAATGGGGTGGTCACTTGCCTATCTGGTACCTGGTTGCTACTAAGTCTTTTAAGAGGAGTCAACCATTCACTCAAGGACCAAGCAGGGAATGACCCCAGACTCAGTCTCCCCGAGGGCTCTCCTTAGGAAGCTGCAGGTGCACGAGAGGGAACTCCTCCCTCGAGGGTGAAGCTTCCACTGCTGGGAGAATCCTCAGCAGCTCACCTCTCCCGGTTTTTAAAACACGCAGCTCCTCGGTCGCCATCTCACAGGGCTGGAGGCGAGCATCGGTGGGGTGATGACAACGAGCCGGAGCAAGTCCCCTGGGCACTGAGGCATCGTGAGAGGAGCTGACTGAGTTGGTGAGAGTTCTTGCTCCGTGTATTGCAAACGTGGTCCTGCAGACCTGCCCGTGCCTGGGTCTGAAGCAGACGTCTCTGGTGTGGACGCCGGACTCAGAGTGCCTGGGTCCCAGTGCTCAGTCAGTTACTTAGATGCTGAGTGACAACTGCCAAGCTGCCTAGCTCTCCGGTGCCTCAGTTTTCCCCATCTGTAAAGCGGGCCCTTCGACAATGCCTTCCTCTTAGCGTTGCTGTAACAGTGAGATGGGCTGGTGCGTGTGAAATTCCTCGGCGCCGGTCCTGGAGCACATTGAGGGTTCGGTCAACGTGCGCCGTGTTTATCAGCAGCAGTAGCAGTGCCGGCGGAACAGCTGGCGAGGGAGGGTGACTTGTAGGGAGTGATGTTTTGCTCACTGCCCGGTAACTGGCATGACCAACCCCAAGATCCTCAAATGGTCTTGTCTGCCTTCCAAGAAAATCAAACAACAGGTGCCTGGGTTGCCTTAACTTATTCCAGCCCTGAGACAGGCTGGTTTGGTTTAGACCTCCAGGAGCCAGCTTAGCACTGGATGTGGCCAGCGCTTACGTGAGAGCCTCCACCTCAGGTGGCTGCCGGCCCCACTCGAGTGGCCTTCCCAGGCACGCCAGCCACGCAATCGGTGAGCGCTGCAAGGACGCTCTCTCCCCTGGTGGCGGTGGGGCGGCCACGGCGCAGCTTGCGGCCACCCATCAGAAGAGGAAGGGGCCTGTCTTCTTGCCAGAGGGAGGACTGGCCTCTGAGCCCCCAGGTGAGGGATCTGGGGGCGCTCCGGCCAGCTGTGCAGCCAGTAGCACTAACTCCATGAAGTCCCATGAGCCCAGGAGCCTGGGTGGCAGAGAAATGGAGAGGAGCAAGGGCACCCCCCAGATTCCGGCGAGGAAGGGGTGGATGGGGGCTGGGAGGAGAGGACAGGCCAAGTCTCTGGTCGTCCACCTGCTCCCATCCTTGGAGTTGGGGGCACTTGCCAGTGGCATGTCCTGTCCTAATCTTGGATTCTGAGATGTCTCCAGGTCTCAGCAGTTTAGTGGGGAGTCTCTGAGCACACTTCTGTTCACATGGGCCCTTGGCTTGCTTCCCAGCATCCTGTTGAGGCTGACAGACTACCTGGCATCCCCCGCATATAACAAGGGTTGTTAGCGATAACTAATGAACGTGTGTTCGTACGATGAATGTCCGCAAGAACCGAAGCTGTTTAGGATCAAGTACAGGGCGACACACCAGCTATTCCGGAAATGATTTAGGAGGGTTGTGTGTGTCCCAGGCCGGGCAAGTTTGGTGGGATGACTGAAATGTTTGGAGAAATGGGGGAGGGGAGGGCAGGCGGGGCAGCCAACGACAATGTACCCACCTTATTACTGGCAGCACCGTGACAGGTGCCAACAAGGAAATATCCAAGATCACAGCTTGTGGGGAAGGTGGCATGGCTTTGCGATACACCAATAATTTGAGAGACAGATGGAGAGGGAAGAAAAACCACAAACCTCTCTCAAAAAGCCTTGGAGTGAAAGGAGAGGAAATTACCTAGACTGCCAGCGTATTCTAATCAGAGCCTTCTTATCAGAATGTCTCTGGTCTAAGGAGGAGAAATCCAATCTGCAGCGGGCTGAGCGCTAAATGAGATCTAATCAGGACCTGCTTTCCAACGCTCGACAACAGGTCAGAGCCCAGTGACGGTTCCACTCACGGTCCTTTCTGGAAACCGCCTGCCTGAGTTGTGTCAACTCCTGGTCTCCAGGAGGCAGGGGGGGCTTTGTCTTTTCTCCCAGCTCTTCAATTCCATTTGCTTAAAACAATGATGGGAAACTGGAGTTGCCTCCTCGGCCCATGCAAAGTCCTGCAAGTCTATTAACCCCTGACTGCTATCAGCTCCAAGCCGGGAAATGTTTCCCTTTTTGAAAAATGTGCATTCATCGAGTCTTTGCTCCGTGCTCGGCACCTGGACGCACGCTATGTTTGCCCCTCACGCGTGCAAGGGGATTTTCCTCCTCACAGCAAACACACAGGTTGCAAAAGGACATTGTAAAAGTCTACTTACCCCAGCCCTGTGGAACACAACACCCCCAAATCCACTAGTTATTCATCTTTCAAGGGTCTAATAGCTGCAGTTCACTAGCCTCATGGTGGCGGTTGTAACTGACAGGTTCTTTGCCACGAGCAGGGAACACCATCTGTGAAACCCCCAGCTCGCTGCAGAGCCCTGGCCTGGCCTTCTAACAACCAGCCCTAACGCCCCGCTCGGGGCTGGGACCTCAGAACAGGAAAATGCCCACACACAGTGAGATAGACGTGGAGACAGGGCTGGGGTGAGGCAGAGAGAAAGACACAGGCTTTCCCTTCTCTTCATCTAGACGACTACTCTGCTGGGCGTGCTGCTGGGCACTACCTGGGCATCCGCTTGTGACATGACGCACATGCTGTGCTGTCTGCAGAGGGTCTGTCCGGCTGAGCCTTACAGGATATGAGAAGTGAGGAGGGAAAGGCCGGAGGGAAGTCTCACTTCCTCTTTCGTGACGAGTCCTGGGCGCCACCAGGTGGGACGAGCTCCCTGCCCCCCTCTCTCCATCCTTGGTCCTGGCCTCCCACCCACTGGGAGACCCAGCTGGACCTCCTGGTCGGCAGCACTGCTTAACAGCATGGGGGCTGGAGGCCCCTCGCCCCTTCCTCGTTGCCTGGGACTCGAGGGTGATTTGAAAAAGACACACACATACGCGAGCGCGCACACACGCACACACACGCACACACTCCTCTGAACTTGGACGCGCACCTCTGTGAGCATATGTCCTGTGCTCTTTGGAGGGCTGGGAGCCCTCTGAGCCACAAGACCACATATGCCCTGTGCCACTTTCTCCACCTTGGTACTTTCCATTGCTCACAGGATACTTGAGATCAAGTCCTAATACCAGTGGCATCGTGGTGCAGACATGGAGCCAATGTGGACGTGCACATGCACACACACGCTCCCACACCCACACCCACACCCACACCCACAGAATGTGCATGTAGATGCTATAGCTGCCTACTCACAAACTGGAGATGACTGTCCCCCATCATAAAATCTTAAAATATAGGATGAGCTAAATTCCTTTCCTTGCCTCTCCACATCAGCGTCCAATTATCTCCTCAAACACTTAAGCTCAGACAACCAGAATGAAATAAATGCAAATAAATAATCCCAGAGCTTAAAATTCAAGGCAACAAATCTTCCTTAAATGAAACAAACCCTTCCCTCTTGGCCATATCTCACCCAGACAGAGTCACGCCGGTGACTGACGGTGCTCCTCGCTAATGATCTCACCCGCCCTCCCGTCCTCAAGGCCACATGTCCACCTGCCGCTCGGGTTCGGCTTTAGTGTTGGGAGTTGGCGTGGGGGTGTGTTAGTTCCCCATCCCTAGCACACGCCTGCAAGGTGCCTCCCCTTGTAGGATTCAACTCTGGCTAAATTTCCAGCCCCCACACCTGCTCTCGCCGGGGCCAGGCTCCTGAACTGTATCATTTAGGTTTGTTCCTACTGACCTTGGCCTCCCTCTGCCAGCTTCCTGGCTCTCCTTCCAACAACATCAGGTGATGGAGGTAAGGGGTGAACAGTTCAGTTTTTGTCTGTTTTTTTCCTTTCGGTGGGCATGAAGTCAGAAGAAGGACTCTACAGAGCATGGCTCATAGTTGGCAGGACACAGCCCGAAAACAGTCCCAGAGACACAAACAGTGACAAAGTTCCTACTCACAGCAGCTGTAGGGACACCAGCCCGTCAAACAGCCCCTTGGCAATCTCGGTGATCTTGTTCCCATAGAGCACCCTGGAAAGGAACGGAGAAGACTGTGGTCACCATGGACGCGGGGCCACTGGGACCCGCTCATGTAGGAGGCCATCCCCTCGGCCAACTCCGGGGAGGACACCTGTCAGAGTGTCCCCTTCCCCGCTCAGCGTCATCCCTTCTCCTCACCAGTGAGCAGCAGGCTAGTGCCCCAGGGCTCGAGGGGGCAGGCCGTCCGGGAGGTGAAGAGAAAAGGGCTCCCTGCTGTTTCACCCCTGGGCAGCCCAGCTCAGTAAATGATCCACAGTAGGAAGAAACGGTCCCTTTGTGGTGTCTCCCTGAGCTGCTAATGTGACTCACACCCGGGCAATAAATAAGATGTGGGGGAGGCTGGCTGGCCCTGTGTCCTCTCGTCTTTAGTGAGTATTGATCAGGCTGAGCCCAGCCTATAGGACGTCTCCTTTCAGTATCCCATCGCACCCGAGGAATTCCCTAGCTGAGTCCTCCCGTCACCCATCTAGACAGGGCTTTGGGTGTCTGGGGTCCCACCCAGATGGCTCAGAGACTGCTGAGTCAAGGACTGACTCCCAGGAAAAAAGGGGGAACAAGGGGTCATTAGCTCGGTGGGACAGCATCTTCTACCCTCCAGATCTTCTTCCTGTCCTTTGAGCTCCAGGAACCAAGGACCTCTGGGTTCTTTGGCCCCCCACACTGGATCTCCCGTTCACAGGCTGGGCTCTGGTGACGTGTGGAGCCTGGAGAAGGCACCTGCTGGGTCTTTCTCTCCAGCCTGGTGCCCAGTGGCTCCTGCTGGCCCTCAGCATGGGCACTGAGGACTCTCGGGCCTCCTGGTCTCATCCACGGCCCAGACTGTGCTGTCTCTGGGTCCAGCCTCCTCTGAGATGCAGGGAACTTAGCTAAGGAGGGTTTATTTTTAGTTCCCTGTTGGGCCCTGAAGCACACCGATGGATGCGATATTCAATCCCCACTCAGGCCGCCGTGTGCCTCTGAGGAGGTGAAGAGTTTGGATGTGGAGACAGTAAACGGGAGAGACACGCCAAAGTCCCGTCTTCTGGACGCCACCAGGAGGGAAGAGTGGGCACCTCGCTCAGCCTGCGGGTGTGTTTCATGAATGTTTCAGCAAATTAATGACTAAATAAAAGTCAGCATGATGCTCAGGCTCCCATTCCTAATTCATATTAATGTCCCGCCGCTCACTGTGTCAAACGGAGGGATGTCACTGTCCGCTCGGCTCAGCTGACGTCCGAGCTTCTCCATGGGAGACGCTGGTGGGGGGGTGG